TGGCCCGTTTGAAATTTATAAGTATGTGCTGTTTCTGCACTATTAATAAATTATTAACACTTTTCTCTAATTGGGGTTGATGTTAGGTTGTTAAAAAATTCTGTTTTAATTGAAGTGTTTTACAATGAATTTATCATTTTTTGTCGTAGCATGAAAGTGCTGAAATGCAATGATAGGCGACGCACCTCGTGTGGATTGTATATTTTGTTACTTTTAATTATCAGCTGCAATTTAAAAAAAACTGTATGGTAATTGATTTTCGAGAAAGGAGTACTTTAAAATGTTTTTGTGGTACACCTCAGAGCTGTAACTTTTGAACTAGTAGCCCAATCTTGGAACTGTTTGAAATTATGGATTCTACAGGCCACCATTCTGTAAGAATTTTTTTCCGGATCGATCTGAGACAATTTTTTTTTCGGGGCTCAAAAAAAGGCAGTGTATAACCTTCCTTTTTTACCAAAAATCGACTGCACCAAAATTTCTCGGGGAAACACTTTTTCTTATTAATTTTGGTGCGTAGAATCCAAAACAATTCGTACTTTTTCGATCAGACTTCTCAATCAAGTTATAGACTAGAAACCAATTTCGAAAGAAAATTCAAAGGGCTGTAACTTTTGAACTAGTAGCCCAATCTTGGAACTGTTTGAAATTATGGATTCTACAGGCCACCATTCTGTAAGAATTTTTTTCCGGATCGATCTGAGACAATTTGTCTTTCGAGGCTCAAAAAAAGGCAGTGATTAACCTTCCTTTTTTGCCAAAAATCGACTGCACCAAAATTTCCCAAGAAAACACTTTTTCTTATTAATTTGGGTGCGTAGAATCCAAATCAATTCGTACTTTTTCGATCAGACTTCTCAATCAAAAGTTATAGACTAGAAACCAATTTCGAAAAAAAAATCAAAGGGCTGTAACTTTTGAACTAGTAGCCCAATCTTGGAACTGTTTGAAATTATGGATTCTACAGGCCACATTCTATAAGAAAATTTTTTTCCGGGTCGATCTGAGACAATTTTTTTTTCGGGCTCAAAAAAAGGCAGTGTATAACCTTCCTTTTTTACCAAAAATCGACTGCACCAAAATTTCTCGGGAAAACACTTTTTCTTATTAATTTTGGTGCGTAGAATCCAAAACAATTCGTACTTTTTCGATCAGACTTCTCAATCAAAAGTTATAGACTAGAAACCAATTTCGAAAGAAAATTCAAAGGGCTGTAACTTTTGAACTAGTAGCCCAATCTTGGAACTGTTTGAAATTATGGATTCTACAGGCCACATTCTATAAGAAAATTTTTTTCCGGGTCGATCTGAGACAATTTTTTTTCGGGCTCAAAAAAAGGCAGTGTATAACCTTCCTTTTTTACCAAAAATCGACTGCACCAAAATTTCTCGGGAAAACACTTTTTCTTATTAATTTGGGTGCGTAGAATCCAAATCAATTCGTACTTTTTCGATCAGACTTCTCAATCAAAAGTTATAGACTAGAACCCAATTTCGAAAAAAAATTCAAAGGGCTGTAACTTTTGAACTAGTAGCCCAATCTTGGAACTGTTTGAAATTATGGATTCTACAGGCCACCATTCTGGAAGAATTTTTTTCCGGATCGATCTGAGACAATTTGTTTTTCGAGGCTCAAAAAAAGGCAATGATACTCTTTAAGAAGCCATTTCCGATACTCTTTACGCAATCTGTATGTTTGTATTTTTTTTTTATAAATGCGTTGTAGTTCAGATTTATTGGTAGGGTTCATTTCGTAATTCATTACTTATTCTACCACTAGAGGTCACGCAAAGTATCTTTCTGTACTTCAATAATATTGATCGATTTCCTTTGCCTTTATCTATCGCTCGCGCCAATGTAAAAGAACTAGAGAGCTTCTGTTGTTCACTTGTAAAGTATGGCGCAATTGGCCGTCGTGATATTTCTGTGAATGTGATTGGGCAAGTCTCTTATTAATATCGAATATTAGTATTTGTTCTTCTCTTTTCTTCTTGATCCTACTTTTTTTTCCACGATCATTGCGAATTTTCTTTTGCCTTTATCGTCATTTGAATTATTATTTTTTTAATGTTAATTACGATTTTTTTAGTATTCGAGTTACCCGATTTGTGTCAAACGTTAATTTTGGTTTCGCAAATTTTGTAAATACCGCTCTCTTTTTGTTTTTGTATCTGTATCTGATTGCAGATTTTACTGCAATAGCACCCTTTTGAGCTCAGTAAGGTGTTCTAACATAAAATATTACTTTAGTCGATTCTCCGTGAGGTGACATTTGTGTATGTGTTACGAGCCCTTGTGTGCAAAACGTATACAGGGTGTCGTCAAAGAATTGTGTGGTAGAAATAAAAAAAATGACATTAATTTTTATTATTTACAGAATGTAGCGCTAATGGTATGTTAAGCCATGTTACATTGTGTTACAGATGTTACATTACGGTACGTTAATGTGATTTTATATTAGTTTACAGCTTTTCATGCAAATATGATGAATAAGCGTGGAAATGTTAGTTTGATTTAACAGATAAGCGCGAAGTGTTCACATGTGTAACAGTTTATTCATCAACATCAATAAAGGTGTCTTACTAACGCTATACTTACATTTACTGAAGGCCGTTTTTAATGACCGTATTGACAATATGTGGGAATTTGGGCAATGACATAAATTTGTTGTTTAATAATCTAATTTTCACACGAAGGGCTTACGCAAATTTCGTTTCCGAAATTGGTAAATAAATAGCGTGTTACCTACGTGTTTAGACCATATTTATGAACATGTGCGTCTTAATTGTTTTACTTGGTACTGCGTTGTTCGCCACCATTGAACCAGCTCAATTACGTAAGTGCGTTAATTACCTTTCGAAGAATTAAATTGCCATTCTAGCAAGCTACATTCCAAGGTGTTACCAGAACGACCGGAACATAAACGAGTGCTTCATAAGTGCCGCCAACAGTCTAAACGAGAACGTCAGAAGTGGGATACCGGAACTCGGTTTGCGTCCGTTAGACCCGTTCGTTGCTCCCGACCTCAACATAACACTCGAATCCCCCATCACTGATCTGTTTGTCGCTACGCAACGATTTACCTTTCACCGGTTTTACAATTACCGATTTACTTCTGCGGAGTAAGTAGCGAAACGGCAGGCGCGTACAAGTACCTACTCCAAACGTTCTTCCAGCATTCGACCGAAAGATGGCGCGGTAAGTGGCAGTGTAACCTTCCCCGATTTAGGTGCATCGGTAGACTACATACTCCAGGGACATCTCATTAATCTTCCAATAGGCGGAGCTGGCGTTGCAAAATTTAAGTTTGCAGCCATCAATTGCGATTTTCTAATCGACAATTGGCTCGAGAAAGCGACTTGTGGCGAAATCAAGTTGGAATTAACGTGCAAAATCGAAGACGTAGAGATGAACTTTACCGGATTAAGTAACGAAGGTAGAGCCGTTTTTCTTCCTATCAATTTGTTAAAGAAAATTTACAGAGATGATGAATAGACTTTTGAATCTGAGCTCCAAGCTGGTCGCATCCGAAGTTTCCCCTGCGTACTCAAACATTTTTAAGGCACTTTTGAGGCCGTTCCTGAAACGCTTGTGCAAAAAATATCCGCTGGGCGAATTATTTCCGCCGTCTTCCTAGTGTGACTATTAATAAAATGTCTGCAATTGTAGTAAATGTTAGGTACGTGATATTTCTTACGGTATTTTAATAAATAAAATGAAAAGTTGCGGGAGTGTAACAGGTGGTCACTTTGCCGTTTCAAAAATTTGGTTTTGAATTTGTATTTTGTTAAACAGGCAAATTTACACATATACCGCTTCGTAGGGAACGTGAACGAAAGTATGTATGGCGATAAGAAGTGATAACAAGCAACATGTGGGGGTAAACGAGTGTGATGCGTATCAGCTACCATATGTACCACCACACTAGGATTGCCATTGGTGGCGGCTAATGCCTCAAACTTGAGTGACGTCATTGAACAACGCCTTGTGCGATAAGTAAAATTTTATATACAACGACTAAGAATTTAAAGATATAATCGCTTTATTAACCCGCACCAAAACTTAATTAATTAATGGGCAATATCAACATGGCGGAAAATCGGTCACTATTCCTGTGCATAATCACACCTTTGCTTTTATTAATATATTCAATCAATCACATGCGGGCGTATTTATTCGCGTTTAAACAAACCAGACCATCAGATTTTGAAACATTCTAATTACTGAGCTAGCCGTGGGTCAAATAATTGTCACAGTCAAACTTTTGCCAGTGCCATAGAAGTTCAATTTTATTTTATGCAAGTCTTGTACACTTTTGCCAGTTTGATGAATTTTCGTACAATTCAAAGTTTCAAAGTTATCGAAACACCTGAGGTTTCTGAAGCTCACATTTGGTTTCCCTATTAAAAAAAATGGAGGCGGCAGAAGCTTCTCGAAACTTTCTTAAGCTCCTGAAGTTGATAAAGTTCCTTGAAAGTTTTTGGAATCTGAGTAGTCTGAAATAACTGAAGAACTTGGAGCAAATTAACTGATCCGATGTGAACAATCTTACAGTAGGATGAAGAGGGAAATAGGGTAGGCGACGAAGAGAAAAATGGAGAAACAACATTGGTGTAGCAGGAGCGAATCTGAACCAAGGAACGTGACCAAGGCTTTGAAGGGGCGCGAAGAAGTGCCGAAGAGGGTTCGAAGGGTATGAAGAAAGCTGAAAAGAAGAGCCGAAGGAGGTGTTCAACAACCCTCAAGAAGGTTCGAAGATAACTGGCAAAAGCTCAAAGTAAGAGATAGGAAGGTTTGAAGATAGCACGCAAAGGATTCGAACAATCTATGAAAAAGGCTTAAAAGGGTAGTCAAGGAAAGGCGCGTGAACAAAGCTCTAAAGAGAAGAGCAGAAAAGGCCGAAACGGAAGTTCAGGCATGTAAACTCAAAACTGGTCTGAAGAAATAGGTGTCAAGAGGGCTCGAAGGAGGAGCGAGGAACGTGGGGAGGAGGTAAAAGGAGTCCAAAGCAGCGTGAGGACCGATTGAAAGAAACATGATGCTCTTTCAAAAGAGGAAAATAGACCCAAAAGACGCGTAGACCAAGCATGGATAGAACAGCGAGGAGGCTTTGAAGGATGCATTTGAAGAAACCGTGAAGATGGCTTTAAGGAGAAGTGAAAGGTGTGCGAAGGAGGACTGAAAAGGTTTTAAAGCAGTCCTGAAGAAGGCTCAAAGGCGTGAAAAAGACTCTTAGGAAGCGTAAAGAAGGCTCAAAAGGATTCGAAGAAAAGGCTCGATGAAGGAGTGAAGGGTGTGCGATGTAGGTGTGAAGAAAGACAGAAGAAAACGTGATGAAGACTGTTTTCTAGAAGTTAACAATGTGATGATCTTTGAAATTGAAACAATGTAAAATTCAAAGGTTGCTCGCCGTTCAAAGTCCACAGGTTGGTCGCCGTTCAAAGTTCAAAGGTTGCTTGCCGTTCAAAGCCCCATTTTGTGGTGTTATATTTCATTTTCGGGGTAAATGACTCTTTTTCATGGTGAAGTTTAGTGAAAACGGTTTGTCGAAGGGACAGGGGCGAAGGGTGAGTATGTGATGTGAATTTAGTAGTGAGCTAAGTGAGTGGATAAGTCGTCTTGACAGTGAGGAAGCAATTGCAATTGAAGAACCAAGGAATTGTGTGTACAATTCTGACTTTGAACTTGACCATGACCCACTTCCCCAGATCACCGCAAGGTGGCGAGTGGACTGGTACAGGTAAAGAATGCGAGAAAAAAGAAGGGAGACAAAAAAAGACTCGAAGGGAGTGTGAAGAAAAGAATGTTTGAAAGTAGCACGAATAAGAATTGAAGGCGGCATAAAAACGGTTCAAGGACTGAAAAGTAAAGGGAAAAATCGAAAAGGGTTGAAACGGAAGTAAACTCAAAACTGGCCTGAAGAAGACTTGAATAAGGCGCGAGTGGCACGAAGGTGAAGGGGGTTTGAAGAAGTGTGCATGAAAAAGAAAAAGTTTCAAAGTTCGCTCGCCCAAAGGTTGATCGCCGTTCAAAGCTCAGAGGTTGGTCGACGTTCAAAGTCCAAAGTTTGCTCGCCGCTCAATGTTCAAAAGTTGTTCAAAGTCCAAAGTTTGCTCGCCGCCCGAAGTTCAAAGGTTGGTCGACGTTCAAAGTCCAAAGTTTGCTCGCCGACCGAAATTCAAAGGTTGGTCCCCGTTCCTAGTGCAAAGGTTGGTTGCCGTTCAAAACTTCATTTTGTGGTGTTTCGAGATCAATGACTTCTTTTTTGTGGTGTTATATTTCACTTTCAAGGTCAACAAACGTCAATTATTTTTTGTGATGCCATTTTTATTTTTTAGATTGTAAATTTAACCTTCCCTCGAATCCCCAAATACTTCACCGTAACTTACCGGGGTTGACTTAACTTCGCTTACGGTTTAAAGCGTATGTCTTGACGGTTATCAACTCATATAACGATGAATACAAAAGAAAAATGTTCCTGTAACCGGTAACAATCACGCCGTATCCACGACTTACCGGCGCCTTAAGTTTTTAAACGCATTGAAAAGATCAGGAAACGAATCGCGTTTAAAATACGCGGAATTTGTGATAATTCAAGGGTTCCGTATCGGTTTTTCCGCTGGGCAACCGATTAGATAGGAATAGAAGTTCGTTGTTGAACCCCTGCGGGTGGAGACGTCCGTTACGTTGGGGATGTATTGGATTTTCTACTCTGCAAAAGAGGTGGGGGAGACACGTATCGCTCGCCCTGCTAAAAAAAATTCCTTTTTTAGTAAGACAAAAGTGTGTTTTCAATATATTTATTGCATTAGGAAGACGGAGGAAACAAATCCTTGAATTGATATTTTCTGCACAACCTTCGAAGGAACACCTTCAAAAGTACCTCGAAAACGCTTGAATATCCGGGCGAAATTTCCGATGCGACCAACTTAGAACTCAGATTTAAAAGACTGTTCATCGCTTCTAAAAATTATCTTCCAGAAAAAGCAAGAGGATAGTAGCAAGTTACCTCCGTTTTCCAATCCTGTAATGTTCACTTTGAGATCTTCGACTTTGCAGTCCACTTTCAATTTGATTTCGTTACAATTTCTAGCCTTGGGCCAATCGCTGATAATGAAATCACAAACGGCGTTCTCGTTTTCCACGTCGACGTAGCCGCGTCCATTGAATTGAAGATTTATTACGTGTCCCTGAACGGCGTAATCTGACGTTATAGCTAAATCGGGAAAGATAACATTGCCAGCAATCGCGCCATCTTGCGCTCGGACACTGGAAGCATATTTATCTTACGTGTAACGTCCTCTGCTTACCGTCTTACTCTGCCGATTTAAAGCAGTAGTTGTACAGTCGGTGTAAAGTAAAACCTTTTAGGGAGGCATAGAAATCGGTGATTGGCGATTCGACTGTTACGTTGAATTCGGGGGACGCGAACGGGTCCAATGGACGTAAACCGATTTCCGGTATCCCACTTCTGACGTATTGGTTTAGGCTGTTTGCTGCGTTTATAAAACACTCGTTTATGTTCTGATCATCCTGGTAACATCTTGGAAAGTAGCTCGCTGGAATAATCCAATGGCATCAGAAAATTAATGCAGTGATGTACCTACGCAGTTCAGCGGATTTGGCATAACCAAAAAAGGTAGTGCTCAGTAAAATAGCAATGATGTTCATTTTCAACACTTGCAAAATCGTGTCATTCCATTTATATACCAATTTCGCACAAACAAAATTTGCATAACACGACATATGAAAATGCAATTATTTTCAATGAATAGGCACTTACAGCAATGAAATATTGTGATTTTTTATCAACATTGCGTTGTTTCCCACATTGTAAGATAATAGAAACAACGACCTTACCTTGTAGGGAGATGTTTTTCGTAGGAGTTGACAATAAAACAACTCTTCTCACATTTCTGTGATCCTGATACAATAATTTATGAAAAAATGGTTTGTGATAGGACACTATAAAACATTCTCATGCGTCACACAATAACCTATAGAAGAGGAATTTGGTATTAGAGCAGTACACAATGTGAGAAGGTGCTTGTAAGCAGGTTCTACACCTTCTCGCGTTTCTGTGATCCTGATATAATAATTTCCAAGAAAAGTGGCGTGCGTTAGGAGACTATAGAACACTCTCATGGGTCACTCAATAATCTACAGAAGATGCATGAACAGCATACAACGCGAGAAGGTGTCTGTAGGCACCTTCTCGCATTTCTGTGATCCTGATACAATAATTTCTGAAAAAATGGTTTGTGATAGGAGACTATAAAACATTCTCGAACGTCACACAATAACTTATAGAAGATGAATTTGGTATTAGAACAGTACACAATGTGAGAAGGTGCTTGTAAGCTGGTTCTACACCTTCTCGTGTTTCTGTGTTCCTGATATAATAATTTCCAAGGAAAGTGGCGTGTGTTAGGAGACTTAGGACGCTCTCATGGGTCACTCAATAATCTACAGAAGATGAATGAACAGCATACAAAGCGAGAAGGTGTCTGTAGGCACCTTCTCGCATTTCTGTGATCCTGATACAATAATTTCTGAAAAAATGGTTTGTGATAGGAGACTATAAAACATTCTCGTGCGTCACACAATAACCTATAGAAGAGGAATTTGGTATTAGAGCAGTACACAATGTGAGAAGGTGCTTGTAAGCAGGTTCTACACCTTCTCGCGTTTCTGTGATCCTGATATAATAATTTCCAAGAAAAGTGGCGTGCGTTAGGAGACTATAGAACACTCTCATGGGTCACTCAATAATCTACAGAAGATGCATGAACAGCATACAACGCGAGAAGGTGTCTGTAGGCACCTTCTCGCATTTCTGTGATCCTGATACAATAATTTCTGAAAAAATGGTTTGTGATAGGAAACTATAAAACATTCTCGTACGTCACACAATAACTTATAGAAGATGAATTTGGTATTAGAACAGTACACAATGTGTGAAGGTGCTTGTAAGCTGGTTCTACACCTTCTCGTGTTTCTGTGTTCCTGATATAATAATTTCCAAGGAAAGTGGCGTGTGTTAGGAGACTTAGGACGCTCTCATGGGTCACTCAATAATCTACAGAAGATGAATGAACAGCATACAAAGCGAGAAGGTGTCTGTAGGCACCTTCTCGCAGTTCTGTGATCCTGATACAATAATTTCTGAAAAAATGGTTTGTGATAGGAAACTATAAAACATTCTCGTGCGTCACACAATAACTTATAGAAGAGGAATTTGGTATTAGAGCAGTACACAATGTGAGAAGGTGTCTGTAGGCACCTTCTCGCATTTCTGTGATCCTGATACAATAATTTCTGAAAAAATGGTTTGTGATAGGAAACTATAAAACATTCTCGTGCGTCACACAATAACTTATAGAAGAGGAATTTGGTATTAGAGCAGTACACAATGTGAGAAGGTGCTTGTAAGCAGGTTCTAAGCCTTCTCGCTTTTATGTGATCCTGATATAATCATTTCCAAGAAAAGTGGCGTGTGTTAGGAGACTATAGAACACTCTCATGGGCCACTCAATAACCTACAGAAGTGGCACGCTACTTTTACCTTGACCCAATTTGCACGGTCGCCCCACGTGACCTTGATTTTTTTCAAGGTCTTCGCCAGGTGGCGAGTGACCTTGAACTGAGCCAGGATATCCCTTGTACAACTACTTTCTATTTTCACCATAAAGAGGGAGTACGCTTGGCTCTCTTCTATGGCAAGTTGGAAGAAATTGCCGGCGACGGGAGTGGTCGTAGCGGGGCGACAGGCTGCACTGGAAGCGTTTATAGCTTCATCCCGGTCTTGGGGCGTTTCCGGGCGACTGGGGCATCTTGGGTGTCTTCCGAACTGTCGTCTTGGGTCGTTCAGATGATCCTGGTTCCGGGGCTGCTGGCGGGGCGTGTAGTGCTGGTGCGAAAGCGAAGGGAGCGGTCTGCTCTGGCTGGAACGGGTGTCCTTCTGTCAGGATGTTTGCGCGTTCTATGGATGCGGTTGCGGCGTGTAGTGGGTGAGTTTATCGAGCGATGAGACATGACGAAATTGGAAAAGGAGCATGAAAGGGCGCGTGTTTGTTTTGTAGGTGGCGGTGTTGCAGGAGATTTGAACGTAGGCAGCGTTTGGCTAGTGGCTTGAGTGAGGGCGAACAAATCCACCCCAACTTTGCTTACGGCTTAAAGCGAATTGCCTCACGGTTATCTCAGAACTTCCCACAACTTTAATTTTTAGATTGGGACCCATCCCTTGACGCAAATCTTTTCCACCAATCAACTAATCTCACACATCCGATCAGATTCAATGACGGCTATACATCGTATTCTGCAAATCTCACACGGCGCAGCAACCCATATAACGAACAATGCAAAAGAAAAGATCTAAACGTGAAACAATCACGCCGTATCCCACGACTTACCGGCGCCTTTAGTTTTCAAACGCATTTTAAAGATCAGATTAGCTTGATTGCGGAAACTAAGCGATAATTCAAGTAAGTCGCTAGAATTGCGTCGGCTTTTTCGCTAGGCAACCGATTAGTTAAGAATATAACTTCGCGGTTGGCTGCAATGCGCGAGACGAACCGTCTTGTTGCGTTGGAGCTGTATCGGATTTCCACTCTGCAATAGAAGTGAAGGAGACGCGCATCGGTTGTCTTAGCGTTTAGTTGCCAACACAAACGCTGTATTTTATACTTATTGCATTAGGGAGACGAAGGAAACAACTCCTTGAGTTCATGTTTTTTGCACAATCTTCGAACGAACGCCTTCAAGTGTACCTCGAAGACGCAATTTGTGATGCCACCAATTTAGAGCTCAAATTTAAAAGAGTATTCATCGTTTCTAAAAGTTGTCTTTCAGAAAATGCAAGCAGGTAGTACCAAATTACCTCCGTTTTCCAAACCTGTAACGTTCACTTTGAGATCTTCGATTTGGCACTTCACTTTCACATTGATCGATTTGCAATTTCCGGTCTCGGACCAATCGCTGATTAAAAAATCGCAAACGACGTCCTTTTACACTGTTGCAAAATCGTGCCATTCCATTATATACCAAGTTCGCACATGAAAATCCAATTATTTTCAATGAAATAAGTGTGCTTTTTTTTTAAATCAACATTACCTTGTTTCCCACATTGTAAGATAATGGCAATAGCGACCTTACCTTGTATAGAGATGTTTTTCGTAGGAATTAACAATGAAATAAAACTGACAGACAGAAAAAAACACTTAAAGATATCCATGTAGACAAAGAGTTTTAATGCCTCGTCAGTGAGTCAAGTGTTAAAGGAAAGTGTAAGTTGTAACATATTCCTATTTATTTATTTATTTCAATTAAGTAGTAGGTATGTCAGGGTGTCTATGCAAGACTTTCAGGGAATTATTATTATAACATCAAAGCGAAGTTAATTTAACCACCTGTAAATTTATTTTAGGGTGGATTCTATTTTGTGGTACTCGCCTCGAGCCGCTAGCGCAATTAAGTCGGTCACCTGTAATCTAGAGCAGGGTGGCTACGATAGCGAAGTTGATTACATTTGGGAACAAGTTAAAAAAGCCTATATTTTGGGCCGAAAAAATGAATTGTCTGAAATCGACCGGGAAAAATCATTTTCTTATAGACTTTGGCCTGTAGAATCCATAACAGTTTGAAGATTGGGCTACTAGATCAAAAGTTACAGCCCCTTGAATTTCTTTGGAAATTGGGTTTTTGCCTATAACTTTTGATTCAGAGGTTTCTGGTACGCCTGTTGTCTTGAGTCGTTCGAATGGCTGTTCGCTGGTCCTGGTTCCGGGACTGCTGGCACAGTTGCGAAGAAGGCGGCCGACTGGAATGGGTATCGGCTCGTATCCTCGGTGAATAACCACTGCTCTTCCGTTGCGTTTTCCATGAAGTTGATCCCTAGGAGGGCGTGGTTTCGGGCTCCCGCGAGTACCAAGAATCCGGTGGGTATCACTCGTTCTATTAGCGTGATTTGCATCGTGGCAGTTAGGACGGTGGTGGGCATCAATTTTCTATCAGCCAATACTAAATGTACGTTTCGGGACACGAATCACAGAGGGGGGTACCGAGCGGACACCCGGCCTCGAGGGGGCGGTTGTGTCTGAAAGAAGTCCATTTGTGCGATACCGGTGTTTCTCGGCAGTTTCCTACGTATAACTCCGGCCTTTCCACATCCGAAGCGCGCGAAGGTGGAGGCGGACGTCCTGGTGGTGGGTGGTGGCTCGCTTGTGCTCGTGACAGGATAGCCCTTTTCTTCAATATGAAGGGTTCGATGGAGTCGTTTGGCCCTTGTTAGCTATCGAAGAGCCCAAACGTCTTAAGTATCGTTACTTGTGTGGGTGTTTCTTGTGGCTCTCTCTTAGGGCGGCTTCTCGTAACAGGCGTGCTTGCATCTGTAACCAAGGGTGGTACAGATGCGCGGGCGTCCGTACCTAAGATGGCATCCCTTACTGACGTGCGCTACGCTACGCTACAACCTTTCATTTCTTTTGTAGACGGTCTCCACGTAGATGGGAATTTCTCCCACGAAGATCTCTGGAGATGCTTTACGATGTGGTTCTAATGCAAGTCTCATATATTCAGCTTAACAAAGCGGACCGTTGCATTGCGAGTGGTAGACGGGACGGGCCTCCGAGTACTAAATTCTAATTTTTCTCGACCACCGGAAATACTTTCTATCGTTGTCTTTACTAACAGAATACTCTCTTAATTTGAATTTACTGTGTCCAAGATCAAATTTCGTGATCATATTTCACGGTCTATCATTGGTTCTTGCAAGTTTTTTTTAGGTGCTGCGAGTTCTTTTGAACTTTTCAGGGTTTCATATTTTTTTATTTCGTCAGTTCTGATAAAGTTCCCCGACTCGTTTGGTTTTCTTACCTAGCTCCGCTTCTTCGATTGTTTCGTGATATCTTCTCGTTAGTATGGTATGAGAGATCTTAGTCTAATGCACTTCCTTAGGCGGCGCTTTAAATAAAATCAAAAGAAAAACTGCATTTCGTAATTCTTTAATCAATGATTTTTGGCCAAAGGAAAATGGAACCCTGTGAAAGTTGCAGTAATTTAATCGATCATGTTAGGAAGACGTCGGAAATAAAGAATTCAACGGATATTTTCTGCACAGCCGTTTCAGGAACGATCCCAAAAACTTCTGGAAAATGCCCGCGTATGCAGGCGAGATTTCCGATGCGACCAATTTGGAACTTAGGTTCAGAAGGCCGATAATCGTATCTGAAACTTGGGTTTCAACAGTTGTAAGAGACTTTAAATTAATCTACCCCCATTAGGCAATCCTGTAAGGTTTACTTTGACGTCTTCATCTCTGCACGTGATTTCCACATTGATCTTGTTACAATTCCCCCTCTCGTTCCAATCGTTTATTAGAAAATCACATTCCATGTTATCATTCATAAGTTTAAAGTAGCCACCCCCATTCAGCGGAAGATTTATTATATGCCCTTGAACTCGGTAATTTCCCCATAAGTCCAAATCGGGAAGGATAACCGTTCCTGTAATCACGCCCTCTTTCGGTCGAATACTGGAAGAATGTTAAACTTAAGTACTTCGTCTGTTTAGTGGCTTACTCTGCAGCAGTAAAGTGGTAGTTGTACAGCCGGTCCAGATTCAAGTCATTTACACTGACATAAAGATCGGTAATGGGAGATTCTAGTGTAAGGTTCAAGTTGGGAGCAACGAACGGGTCTAACTGATGCAAACCGATTTCCGGTATCCCACTTCTGACGTTCTCGTTTAGACTGTTGGCAGCACTTATGAAGCACTCGTTTATGTTCTGGTCGTCCTGGTAACATCTTGGAAAGTAGCTTGCTGGAATGACCTTTTAAGGCAATGTGCAGCTTTAATGACACAACACACTTACGTAATTTAGCTGGATAGATGGTGTGGAACAACGTAGTACCAAATAAAACCGTTAAGAGGTACATTTTCGGTTATCAGACCTAGATCAACTGATATAGGTACCTACTTCGTGGAAACACATTTTGCAATAAGCCGTTCGTGTGAAAATGAGTTGCATATAAACGACCAATTTATGACGAACAAATCAACTACAACATTGTCCACATTGCTCAATTTCCCACATATTGACTAAGCAACATAATCATTAAAATACAGCCTTCAGTAAAGGTATAGCAAGAATAAGAATTGCTTTCTGTACCCAAAGCGTTGCTGATGCATATCCTCTCCCTGAAATTGCGTCTACTTTGGATAGTCCGAGAAATTCTAGCCGATCCAACAAGTTTGTGCACTACCGCCCTGTATAAAAATGAACATCCGTTTACAATGCATAACTAAAGGATATCTGCGCACGTCCAACACATATTATAGAAATATCGCAAAAAACTATTCGGTTTCTTATGAAAGATCTAATTTTAAATCCATGGAAAAACTATGTGAATGGCTACACGATATACTTCATATAAGCAAGTTACAAATTATTTTACCTACCGTAATCAAGTGAAATACTACTGTATTTAGGTATTTATGCCCTCTTGTTACACGTTTCTCAAGAAATTCCTGTTACATTTTCTCTTTTGCTACATTTTTTACACAATTGTGCAGAACTATTTAAACAATTTACTTACACTCTCTGATACAGTAATCAAGTGAAATTTCTGTTCTCCTGATACAACTTTCACGAGACACTTCTGTCACATTTCCCCTTTAGCTAAATTTTTAACACCATTGTGCAGAAAATACGATCTCAGCGATTTATTTCCGCACTCTCTCTAACGTAATCAAGTGGAATGCTACTGTGTTTAAGTACTTCTGCTCTCCCGCTACCTCTTTCTTAAGAAACCCCTGTTAATTTTTTCCTGTTGCTAGATTTTCTAGACGACTTTGCAAAAAATAGGAGTTCAACGACTCATTTTCGCTCTCTAGCTAACGTAACCAACTGAAATACAACTATTTAAGTATTTATGTTCTCCTATTACACGTTTCTTGAGTAATTCCTGTTTCATTTCCCATTTTGTTACATATCTTACACGATTGTAGAGAAAATATTATTTTAACGATTTGCTTGCGCTCTTTACCTAACGTAATCAAGTGAGCTGCTACTCAAGTATTTATGCTTTCCTGTTACACCTCTCTCGAAAAAATCACGTTACATTTCTCCTTTTGCTACATTGTTTGCACGAATGTCAGACAATATGATTTGAACGATTTATTTCCAGTCTTTCCCTAACGGAGTCAAGTCAAATGCTACTGTATTTAAGTATGTGAGCGCTCCTGTTACAACGTTCTGGAGTATTCCTGTTACATTTGCTCTTGCTGCATGTATTACACGACTGTGCAGAAAATGTTATTTAAACAATTTACTTACGCTCTCTCCTATCGTAATCAATAAATCCTCCTGTATTTCAGTATTTCTGCCCTCCTGTGAGATCCTTCATGAAAAATTCCTGTTACATTTCCCTTTTAGCTACATTTTTTACACGATTGTGCACAAAATCTCAACGATTTATTTCCGCACTCTCTCTCTCTCTCGTAATCAAGTGAAATGCTACTGATTTCTTCTGATCTCCTGCTACCTCAAGAAGCTCCTATTACGTTTCCCCTGTTGCTAGATTTTTAAACGATTTCGCAGGAGTGCGGAAATAAATAGTTGAGATCGTATTTTGTGCACAATCGTGTAAAAAATGTAGCTAAAGGGGAAAAGCAACAGGAATTTCTTAAGAAGGATGTATGAGGAGAACAGGAATACTGACATACAGCTAACGTAATTATGTGAAATGCTACTCTTTTTAGGTATTTATTCTCTCCTGATACTCATTTGTCCAAAACATTTCCTTTTTTGCTACATTTATTACACGATTATGGAGAAAACATTACTTAAACAATTTACGCACGCTCTGTCCTATCGTAAACAAGGCTATATGTTCGTATTCCTGTTCTCCTCATACATCCTTCTTAAGAAATTCCTGTTGCTTTTCCCCTTTAGCTACATTTTTTACACGATTGTGCATAAAATACGATCTCAACGATTTATTTCCGCACTCTCTCCCGTAATCAAGCGAAATGCTACTGTGTTTAAGTATTTCTGATCTCCTGCTACCTCAAGAAACACCTATTACGTTACCCTTGTTGCTAGATTTTTAAACGATTTCGCAGGAGATTGGATCTCTACGGCTTTCTAGCTAACGTAATCGAGTGATATGCTCCTGCACTCCTGTTAAACCTCTCTCGAGAAATTCTGCTACATTTCCCCTTTTGTCACATTCTTTACACGAATGTGCAGAAAATATTATTTGCACGATTTACTTACGCTCTTTACCTAACGTAATCGTGTGAAATGCTACTGTTTTTAGTTATTTATTTTCTCTTGTTACTCCTTGGTCGAAAAACATTTACTTTTTTGCTACATTTATTACACGATTATGGAGAAAACATTACTTAAACTATTTACTCACGCTCTCTCCTATCGTAATCAAGGCTGTATGTCAGTATTCCTGTTCTCCTCATACATCCTTCTTAAGAAATACCTGTTGCTTTTCCCCTTTAGCTACATTTTTACAAGATTGTGCACAAAATACGATCTCAACGATTTATGTCCGCACTCTCTCCCGTAATCAAGCGAAATGCTACTGTGTTTAAGTATTTCTGATCTCCTGCTACCTCAAGAAACTCCTATTACGTTACCCTTGTTGCTAGATTTTTAAACGATTTCGCAGGAGATTGGATCTCTACGGCTTTCTAGCTAACGTAATCAAGTGAAATGCTCCTGCACTCCTGTTAAACCTTTCTCAAGAAATTCTGCTACATTTCCCCTTTTGTCACATTCTTTACACGAATGTGCAGAAAATATTATTTGCACGATTTACTTACGCTCTTTACCTAACGTAATCGTGTGAAATGCTACTGTTTTTAGTTATTTATTTTCTCTTGTTACTGCTTTGTCGAAAACATTTCCTTTTTTGCTACATTTATTACACGATTATGGAGGAAACATTACTTAAACAATTTACGCACGCTCTGTCCTATCGTAAACAAGGCTATATGTTCGTATTCCTGTTCTCCTCATACATCCTTCTTAAGAAATTCCTGTTGCTTTAGGATTGTTGCTAGATAAACGATTTCGCAGGAGATTGGATCTCTACGGCTTTCTAGCTAACGTAATCGAGTGATATGCTCCTGCACTCCTGTTAAACCTTTCTCAAGAAATTCTGCTACATTTCCCCTTTTGTCACATTCTTTACACGAATGTGCAGAAAATATTATTTGCACGATTTACTTACGCTCTTTACCTAACGTAATCGTGTGAAATGCTACTGTTTTTAGTTATTTATTTTCTCTTGTTACTGCTTTGTCGAAAACATTTCCTTTTTTGCTACATTTATTACACGATTATGGAGGAAACATTACTTAAACAATTTACGCACGCTCTGTCCTATCGTAAACAAGGCTATATGTTCGTATTCCTGTTCTCCTCATACATCCTTCTTAAGAAATTCCTGTTGCTTTTACCCTTTAGCTACATTTTTTACACGATTGTGCATAAAATACGATCTCAACGATTTATTTCCGCACTCTCTCCCGTAATCAAGCGAAATGCTACTGTGTTTAAGTATTTCTGATCTCCTGCTACCTCAAGAAGCTCCTATTACGTTTCCCCTGTTGCTAGATTTTTAAACGATTTCGCAGGAGATTGGATCTCTACGGCTTTTAGCTAACGTAATCGAGTGATATGCTCCTGCACTCCTGTTAAACCTCTCTCGAGAAATTCTGATACATTTCCCCTTTTGTCACATTCCTTACACGAATGTGCAGAAAATATTATTTACACGATTTACTTACGCTCTTTACCTAACGTAATTATGTGAAATGATACTGTGTTTAAGTATTTCTGCTCTCCTGCTATAAGAAACTCCTGTTGCTTTTCCCCTGTTGCTAGATTTTTAACGATTTTAGGATTCAACGAATCTAGCCGTAATCAACGAAATACTTCTCCTATTACCTTTCTAAATTTCCCTTTTGCTTACACTTGAAATCTCCTGTTTTTATGTTACTATGATACAACTCCTTGGTTGTCAAATGCTACTTCCTGTTTTTGCTACTTTTTTGCTACATTTATTACACGATTATGGAGAAAACATTACTTAAACAATTTACTCACGCTCTCTCCTATCGTAATCAAGGCTGTATGTCAGTATTCCTGTTCTCCTCATACATCCTTCTTAAGAAATTCCTGTTGCTTTTCCCCTTTAGCTACATTTTTTACACGATTGTGCATAAAATACGATCTCAACGATTTATTTCCGCACTCTCTCCCGTAATCAAGCGAAATGCTACTGTGTTTAAGTATTTCTGATCTCCTGCTACCTCAAGAAGCTCCTATTACGTTTCCCCTGTTGCTAGATTTTTAAACGATTTCGCAGGAGATTGGATCTCTACGGCTTTCTAGCTAACGTAATCGAGTGATATGCTCCTGCACTCCTGTTAAACCTCTCTCGAGAAATTCTGATACATTTCCCCTTTTGTCACATTCCTTACACGAATGCGCAGAAAATATTATTTACACGATTTACTTACGCTCTTTACCTAACGTAATTATGTGAAATGATACCGTTTTTAGGTATTTATGCTCTCCTGTTACTCCTTGGTCGAAAAACATTTACTTTTTTGCTACATTTATTACACGATTATGGAGAAAACATTACTTAACCTATTTACTCACGCTCTCTCCTATCGTAATCAAGGCTGTATGTCAGTATTCCTGTTCTCCTCATACATCCTTCTTAAGAAATTCCTGTTGCTTTTCCCCTTTAGCTACATTTTTTACACGATTGTGCACAAATTTCGATTTTTACGCGCTCTCTCTAACGTAATCAAGTGAAATGCTACTGTGTTTAAGTATTTCTGATCTCCTGCTACCTCTTTCTCAACAAACTCCTATTACGTTTCCACTGTTGCTAGGTTTTTATACGATTTCGCAGAAAATAGGATTTCAATGACTTATTTCTATGCTTTGGTAACGCAGTCAAGCGAAATGCTGTATTTCTGCTATCCTGTTAAACCGTTTTCGAGAAATACTGTTACATTACCCCATTTGTCACGTTTTTTATACGATTGTACAGAAAATATATTTAAACTACTTACGCTCTTTATCTAACATAATCAGGAGAAATAATATTGTATTGAAGTATTTATGCTCTCCTGTTACACCTTTCTCGAGAAAATCATGTTACATTTCCCCCATTGCTACATTGTGTGCACGAATGTCAGAGAATGTTTTTTGAACGATGTATTTGCGCTCTCTCCCTATCGTAGTCATGTGAAATGCTACCATATTTAAGTATTTCTGCTCTCCTGTGACATTTTACATCCAAATATCCCCGAATTAGAAATTTCAATTACTCACATCCTCTGAGAGTTCTATTACTAGCATTCGGCAAAATGCATGTTTGGGTTAGCCGGTGACTATCTGAACCAGTTAAGAGCTTCTAATTATTCAACTTCTTTTGCATTTTGGATCCTCGTCTTCTTCTTATTAGACTACCTCAGTTCCCTCACCTCCTTTTCTAATTCTGGTGGTGGAATTCGTTTCTTGTACGTGGTTATTCCGGCTTGTCGAAGAAACGGTTCTTACTTCCTGAAATACCTCTCTGGAAGAAAATACAAGTTAGTAAATGGGGAGGAGGCAGCTGAAAATGGAAACACATTCGTCCAAGCTCAAATAAATGCAGTTTTTATTGGGTTTCATTAAAGAGAAACTTTCACGACGACCGATCACCAAATACCCTGGTTTACAACACCTTTTTGTGTCTGTGGACGATCATTTTAGGAAGACGGAGGAAATACGTCACTCAATGGAAATTCTCTGCACAGCCGTTTCAGGGGCCGTCTCAATAACGCCTGAAAAATGCGGGCGTATGCAGGAGCAAGTTCCGATGCGACCAATTTGGAGCTTAAGTTCAGAAGGCCGTTAATCGTATCTGAAACTTGGGTTTCAACAGTTGCGAGACTTTAAATTGACGTACCTCCGTTGCCCAATCCTGTAAGGTTTACTTTGACGTCTTCATTTTTGCACGTGATTTCCAAATTGATCTTGTTACAATTCTCGTTCCAATCGTTTATTAGAAAATCACATTCGATGTTGCCATTAACAATTTTAAAATAGCCATCCCCATTCAGCGGAAGATTTATTATATGCCCCCGAACTCGGTAATTTCCCCATAAGTCTAAATCGAGAAGGATAACCGTTCCTGCAATCACGCCATCTTGCGGTCGAATACTGGAAGAATGTTAAGTATAACTTCTTGCGTTTGGTGACTTACTCTGCAGCGGTAAAGCGGTAGTTGTACAGTCGGTGCAGATTCAAGCCATTTGTACTCGCGTAAAGATCGGTAATAGGGGATTCGAGTGTAAGGTTTAAATCGGGAGCAACGAACGGGTCTAGGTGAGGCAAGCCGATTTCCGATATCCCACTTCTGACCTTCTCGTTTAGACTGTTGGCAGCACCTATGGTGCACTCGCTTATGTTCTGGTCGTCTTGGTAACATCTTGGAAAGTAGCTTGCTGGAATGACACTCTGCTTCAGAAGCTCATGACAACACACTTACGTAGTTTAGCTGGTTCGATGGTGGCGAACAACGTGGTACCAAGTAAAACAGTTAAGATGCACATTTTCCGTAATCTGGTTAAAAATCGTGGAACATCAACTAATATACCTAGTTCGTGAAAACAAAATTTGCATGTAAGCCGTTCGAGTGAGTGAGTGGCATTTAAACGACCAATTTATAACGTTCAAATCAACTACAACATTGTCCACATTGCTCAATTTCCCACATATTGATATATCAATGCTTTAATTTAAAAACGACCTTTAGTAAAGGTGAGAATTTGAGATTGTTTTTTTGCGTACATTACAGGAGAGTTTTTGTGATCACCCAAAACGATGCAGATGCTTATCCTCTCCCTGACATTTCGTCTATTGTGGATTGTCCGAGAGATTCTATTTGTCTTACTACTGTCAAAGCAATAAGTTTGTGCACGTCGAACGCAATTGTAGAAATATGGCAAAAACTATGCGATTTCGGACGAGTTTGCTACCAAGAAAGGTCAATTTTAATACACGGGTTCTTTTACGATACATTGACCTGTTTTCGTGCGTTTATATAGCACGACAATTATATTTTGTCTCAAGGATATGGGTAAGAGAAACAAAACGATAAGATGATTATTTCGAATCGTTACTTTTCATTGAATAATTCCGCTGGAATGCAAATGGTGAGAAGGCAACCTGGTATGGATGAAAAAACATCCAGCTACCCGTAGCTTAAGTGAAAGAAGTTAAGCTATACTACCACTACAACGCTTCAAATTAAATTAAAACCATTAAAATGCCTTTCGTCGATAATTTCTAGAATATGGAAAGTTTGGAGTTTGCTGAAATAACTGGTAAACCCTGCGTTTGAAAGTGTCTGTCTTGTAGACCTTTCAGTATTTGTAAAAATTGGCGATACTTGCTGGAATTCTCTGGTTTTCCTACTATATTTTCTCGAGGAATATGAAACCGCTACTGTATTAAAACATCTCTTATCTTTTTTTGATATTAAAGCCGCTTTCGGTTCCGTCGGCTACGATGACGTTCACTATTGGTCGCACGTATTGTGGTGAGGAACCGGACGTGTCCGTGAGATGAGAATCCATTTGGGCGACCCTCTTGCGGTCGCGGCATTTAGGACACTGTCTCCTAGTTACCTCAGGTTTGCCGCATCTGAAACAAGATATGGGAGCGGCTGTCGGTCTGAGTGCCTTGGTTCTCTTCTGCTTTCTTCACTCCTCCCTGAAGTGTCCTGTGGTATGGCGTGTCTTCTTCACCTCGTGCCAAGCTTCCGGAACCTTCGTGGTCTTTTTCGGAGCTCACGTTTTAAATAGCTCGCGAAGTAGCTGATGGGGTGCAGTCTCTGCACGGTACACTTCGCAAAGGATTCGCTGCTTGCGCGCTCGGGGTGACTGGATCAGCTCCTTCAGAATGTCGGCGGTCATGCTGAGTGGGGTGCTACTGTTTTTAGGTATCTCCCGTTACTCCTTTGTCGAAAAATTCCTGTTACATTTCCCTTTTTGCTACATTTTTTACACGATTGTGCACTAATTATGACCTTATTTTCGCACTCTCTCTAACGTAATCGAGTGAAATGCTACTGTGTTTAAGTATTTTTGATCTCCTGCTACCTCTTTCTCAAGAAACTCCTGTTAAGTTTCCCCTGTTGTTAGATTTTTACACGATTTCGCAGAAAAAGGATTTCAATGACTTATTTCTGCTCTTTGGCTAAAGTAGTTAAGTGAAATGCTGTATTTCTGCTCTCCTGTTAAACCCTTCTCGAGAAATACTGTTACATTACCCCATTTGTCACATCCTTTACACGATTCTGCAGAAATACTGAAACACTCTCCGCCTACCGCAATCAAGTGAAATGCTACTATACTTAGGTATTTATGTTTTCCTGTTACACCTTTCTCGAGAAATTCCTGTTAGAATCCCACTGTGCTACATTTTTTACACTATTGTGCAGAAAATGTTATTTAAACGATTTACTTATGCTCTCTCCTATCGTAATCAATAAATCCTCCTGTGTTTTACCATTTCTGCCCTCCTGTGAGATCCTTCATGAAAAATTCCTGTTACATTTCCCTTTTAGCTACATTTTTGACACGATTGTGCACAAAATACGATCTCAACGATTTATTTTTCCACACTCTCTAACGTAATCAAGTGAAATGCTACTGTTTTAGGTATTTATGCTCTTCTGTTACTCCTTTGTCGAAAAATTCCTGTTACATTTCCCTTTTTGCTACATTTATTACACGATTATGCAGAAAACATTACTTAAACAATTTACTCACGCCCTCTGCTATCGTAATCAAGACTGTATGTCAGTATTTCTGTTCTCCTCATACATCCTTCTTAAGAAATTCCTGTTGCATTTCTCCTTTAGCTACATTTTTTACACGATTGTGCACAAATTACGATTTCAACGATTTTTTCCGCACTTTCTGTAACGTAATCAAGTGAAATGCTACTGTGTTTAAGTATTTCTGATATCCTGCTATCTCTTTTTCAACATACTCCTGTTACGTTTCCCCTGTTGCACGATTTCGCAGAAAATAGGATTTCAATGACTTATTTCTGCTCTTTGGCTAAAGTAGTCAAGTGAAATGCTGTACTTCTGCTCTCCTGTTAAACCCTTCTCGAGAATTACTGTTACATTACCCCATTTGTCACATTATTTACACGATTGTGCAGAGAATATTGCTTAAACGACTTACTTACACTCTCCGCCTACCGTAATCAAGTGAAATGCTACTGTATTTAGGTATTTATGTTCTCCTGTTACACCTTTCTCGAGAAATTCCTGTTACAATCCCACTTTGCTACATTTTTTACACTATTGTGCAGAAAATGTTATTTAAACGATTAACTTATGCTCTCTCCTATCGTAATCAATAAATCCTTTTGTATTTCACTATTTCTGCCCTCCTGCGAGATCTTTCATGAAAAATTCCTGTTACATTTCCCTTGTAGCTACATTTTTGACACGATTGTGCACAAAATACGATCTCAACGATTTATTCCCGCACTCTCTCCCGTAATCATGTGAAATGCTACTGTATTAAAGTATTTCTGATCCCCTGCTACCTCAAGAAACTCTTATTACGTTTCCTTGTTGTTAGATTTTTAAACGATTTCGCAAGAGATAGGATCTCAACGGCTTTAGAGCTAACGGTAATCAATTGAAATGCTCATGCATTTAAGAATTTCTGCACTCCTGTTAAACCTTTCTCGAGAAGTGTTGCTACATTTCCCCTTGTGTTACATTCTTTACATGAATGTGCAGAAAATATTATTTACGTTCTTTACATAACGTAATCATGTGAAATGCTACTGTTTTTAGGTATTTATGCTCTCCTGTTACTCCTTTGTCGAAAAATTCCTGTCACATTTCCCTTTTTGCTACATTTATTACACGATTATGCAGAAAACATTACTTAAACAATTTACTCACGCTATCTCCTATCGTAATCAAGACTGTAGGTCAGTATTCCCGTTCTCCTCATACATCCTTCTTAAGAAATTCCTGTTGCATTTCTCCTTTAGCTACATTTTTTACACGATTGTGCACAAATTACGATACTGTATTTAATTATTTCTGATCTCCTGCTACCTATTTCTCGAAAATTCCTGTTATGTTTCCCCTGTTGCTAGATTTTTGCAACATTTCGCAGAAAATAGGATTTCAACGACTTATTTCTGCTCATTGGCTAACGTAGTCAAGCGAAATGCTGTATTTCTGCTCTCCTGTTAAACCCTTCTCGAGAATTACTGTTACATTACCCCATTTGTCACATTCTTTACACGATTGTGCAGAGAATATTGTTTAAACGACTTACTTACACTCTCCGCCTACCGTAATCAAGTGAAATGCTACTGTATTTAGGTATTTATGTTCTCCTGTTACACCTTTCTCGAGAAATTCCTGTTACATTCCCACTTTGCTGAATTTTTTCCACTATTGTGTAGAAAATGTTATTTACTCCCCTATCGTAATCACTAAATCCTCCTGTATTTCACTATTTCTGCCCTCCTGCGAGATCTTTCATGAATAATTCCTGTTACATTTCCCTTTTAGCTACATTTTTGACACGATTGTGCACAAAATACGATCTAAACGATTTATTCCCCCACTCTCTCCCGTAATCAAGTGAAATGCTACTGTGTTTAAGTATTTCTGATCTCCTGCTACCTCAAGAAACTCCTATTATGTTTCACCTGTTGCTAGATTTTTAAACGATCTCGCAGGAGATAGGATCTCAACGGCTTATTTCCGCTTTCTAGTTAACGTAATCAAGCGAAATGCTCCTACATTTAAGTATTTCTGCTCTCCTGTTAGACCTTTCTCGAGAAATACTGTTACATTACCCCATTTGTCGCATCTTTACACGATTGTGGAGAAAATATTTTGTAAACGACTGATATACACTCTCCGCCTACCGTAATCATGTGAAATGCTACTGTATTTAGGTATTTATGTTCTCCTGTTATGAGATGTCCCAAGTGCGTGTTGAATTATCTCAATAGAACGGTAGATAATGTCCGAGTAAGCTCCGGTTCGAATTGGTGTCGCTGCGCCTCTTCTAAGAACGACCAGTGTCCCTCCGGGATGCGCACTGTTAATGAAGCCGACGCCTAGTAATGTGAAGTGTCTGTGGACGACGCGACCCTCGTGTGGGTGCGGCAGTTTGGGCACTGCCTCCTAGTTACTTCAGGTTTGCCACATCCAAAACAGGAAATTTTTTCTAAACCATTAAAGAGAGACTATAATACTGTTATTGATTAATTCTTATTTTAAGAGCAATTATTTACCAAATAATGCAGTTCTAGCAACAAATAAGGCTCAATACGCTAGTTTTGTAGGGATAAAGTACCAAACATGCCATAGAAATACATAAACTGTATTTTGCTTGGATTCGTTTTACAGGATTTGACTAAGGTGGGACAAGCATGTAATGAAGTTAGGGCGTCAATGGAAACAGATCATCGAACTCGTGCTTTCGGCACATCCGCGTAAGGAACGACTTCAGAAAAGGTCGAAATATGTTGGTATACGCCGGCGAAAGCTCCGACGCGACCAGCTGGGAGCTTAGGTTTAAAAGAGTGCCGACCATATCTGAAAAATTCCTACAAACTTTTACAAAATATCAATTTACCAATAATACCATTCGCCAATCCGGTAATGTTCACCTTGAGATCTTCAATTTTGCAGGTAATTTCCAAGTTGATCCCGTTACAATTTTTCTTCTCCTGCCATCCGCTCGTCAAAAAATCACACACGATTTTGCTATTTGCAATTTTGAAGTAACCGCCTCCTTGCAGTGGCAGATTTATGATGTGACCCTCGACGGTGTAGTTCGACTTTAAATCCAAATCTGGCAGGATAAGCTTGCCTCCAACCACGCCATCTTTCGGTCGAATTCTGGAAGAGTGTTAAACGCTATTGATAACCCGTCTGGCGACTTACTCGGCCGATATAAACTGGTAATTGAATAATCTCTCAAACGTGAAACCTCTTAAGGTGGCGTTATAATCGGTGATCGGAGATTCGAGTGTCATGGTGAAAGGGGGTGCGACAAACGGATCTAAGGGACGCAAACCGATTTCCGGTATCCCTTTTCTGACGTACTGATTCAAACTGTTGGCGGCGTTAACGAAGCACTCGTTTATCTTCGGATCATCCTGGTAACATTTCGGGAAGTAGCTCGCTGGAAGGATAGGTCGATAATCATAAGTTCACGTGGTAAGGCAACTTACGTAAATTAGCCGTTTCAGTGCGAGCAATGGTAAGACCCAGCAAAATGGCAAAGAGCATTTTCGAAAACTCGACTGAAACTCGCGATAGAAGATTGCCTTATATAGGAATAGTTTACAAATCCCGTGGGTATGAGAATGTTACAGAGAGTAGCTACGCACATTATTTACGTGAATAAATCCGTGAATAATCTACAAACAGATTAAAAATGTTTTTCTCCCAGACTCAATTGCGGTAATGGGCATCAGCAAAGACCAAAGAGAACTGGCGTGGTAATTAGGGGTCAATACATTATCTGGTTCTAAATCTGATAATGTTTACTGATTATTTAATTCATATTTAGAACTATACTTCTGTAACCTTGGTGACGTTTCACCTGTTGACCACGCATTCAATGGGGCCCAGGAATAACCTGTATTCTGTTTCAATACCCCAAGAAGGACGTTTTTAATTTAAAAAAGTTCATTTTGCCAAACTGTTTATTAGTGAAACCTTTTTACCACGTACAGATATGGTAGCAAAGAGGACTGCTCGTAAAGTACAAGATCATGGTCAAAATGTTGCTGTTTTTTTTGGAACGACACATTATGGTTGCAATATGTAAATTTACCTCCTCCCCCACCCCCTCGACCGTTTTTATATTACCACTGTAAGGAATGATGCGAGGCGAAACCGAGCTATGTCTGAACCGGAGCCAAACGTATGTCGTATAAATAAAGGTCAAACAATTATTATGGTTATGGAATACCCTGCCGGAAAAAAGGAAAGATTCAATGTTCTTTTTCTACACCCAAAATCGATTTTATGGTACAACCGTAATGAAGGAATGCGCGTAGTTGTGGGTGAGCGAGGCGAGGCGGCGCAGCCGACGGAGCCGAGCGTATGTCGTATATAGGTCAATCAAATATCGTTATAGAATACTCCCAAGGAAAAAGGAAAGACTCAATCTTCTTTTCCCTACACTTATAAAAATGTACGGACGCATCGCTGTGGGGGGGGGGGTATTCTATACTCCCCAGACCCCCCGGTTTAACATGCTTTCCCCAAAACCGTTCCAGTTTTCAGTGCACTTTCAAAATCCGCTCTTAGTTTCGTTTCAATTCTGAACACCCACATTGGATTGTCCTTAAAAATGGCCCTGGTTAAATTTTCTACTGGTTAGCGTCTTTTTTTGTACCAATCACGGACGGCTGGTAATTATCTCAAAAACAAGCGATCAGCATTTTCCATGACAGCTTTTCTTCATGATACGCTAAGGCCTGATCCCGCCGCCGGAGCTGAGCGTATGTCGCATAAAAGTGTTACAGTTTTTATAGTACTACAGTAATGAATAATACGAACCGAAACCGAGCTATGGGCTAAGTTGTAACAGAGCGAGGCGAGGCGGCGCAGCCGCCGGAACCGAGCGTATGTCATATATAAGTCAATCAATTATCGTTATGGAATGCCTCCTAGGAAAAAAGGGAAGTTGCCAATGTTTTTTTCCTACACTTATCAAAATGTGCTAACGTGTGGCTGGGGGGTATTCCATACCCCCCAGACCCCCCGGTTCTACATTCTACTCCCAAATTGTTTCAGTTTTTATAGTACTACAATAATGAATAATACGAAGCGAAACCGAGCAATGGGCTAAGTCGTAATGGAGCGAGGCGAGGCGGCGTAGCCGCCGGAACCGAGCGTATGTCGTATATAAGTCAATCAATTATCGTTATGGAATACCTCCTAGGAAAAAAGGAAAGTGTCAATGCCTTTTTTTCCTACACATCAAAATGTGCGAACACGTGGCTGGGGGGTATTCCATAACCACCTGTTCTACGTTCTTCTCCAAAATTGTTACCATTTTTACAGTACTACTTGAACCGAGCGTATGTCGTATATAAGTCAATCAATTATCGTTATGGACCTCCTAGGAAAAAAGGAAATTGTCAATGCCTTTTTTCCTACACTTATCAAAATGTGCTAACGCGTGCCTGGGGGGTATTCCAGACCCCCCGGTTCTACATTCTACCCCCAAATTGTTCCAGTTTTTATAGTACTACAGTAATAAATAATGCGAAGCTAAACCGAGCTATGGGCTAAGTCGTAATTGAGCGAGGCGAGGCGGCGTAGCCGCCGGAGGCGAGCGTATGTCGTATATATCAATCAATTATTGTCATGCGATGCCTCCTAAGAAAAAAGGGAAGTTGCCAATGCTTTTTTTCCTACACGTATCAAAATGTGCTAACGCGTAGCTGGGGGGTATTCTATACCCCCCAGACCCCCCGGTTCTACATTCCACCTCAAAATTGTTACAGTTTTTATAGAACTACACTAATGAATAATACGAAGCGAAATCGAGCTATGGGCTAAGACGTAATTGAGCGAGGCGAGGCGGCGTAGCCGCCGGAGCCGAACGTATGTCGTATATAAATCAATCAATTATCGTTATGGAATACCTCCTAGGAAAAAAGGAATGTGTCAATGCTTTTTTTCCTTCACTTATCAAAATGTGCTAACGCGTGGCTGGGGGGTATTCCATACCCCCCAGACTCCCCGGTTCTACATTCCACCCCAAAATTGTTACAGTTTTTATTGCACTACAGTAATGAATAATACGAAGCGAAACCGAGCTATGGGCTAAGATTTAATTGAGCGAGGCGAGGCGGCGTAGCCGCCGGAACCGAGCGTATATCGTATATAAGTCAATCAATTATCATTATGGAATACCTCCTAGGAAAAAAGAAAAGTGCCAATGCTTTTTTTCCTACACTTATAAAAACGTACTAACGTGTGGATGGGGGTATTCCATCCCCCCCAGACCCCCCGGTTCTACATTCTACCCCAAAATTGTTACAGTTTTTATAGCACTACACTAATGAATAATACGAAGCGTAGCACAGCTATGGGCTAAGTCGTAATTGAGCGAGGCGAGGCGGCGTAGCCGCCGGAACCGAGCGTATATCGTATATAAGTCAATCAATTATCGTTATGGAATACCTCCTAGGAAAAAAGAAAAGTGCCAATGCTTTTTTTCCTACACTTATCAAAATGTGCTAATGCGTGGCTGGGGGGTATTCCAGACCTCCCGATTTTACATTCCTCCCCCAAACCGTTACAGTTTTTATAGTACTACTGTAATTAATAATACTAAGAGAAGCCGAGCTATGGGCTACTAGAGCGCACCTGAGCGAGGTGAGGGGGCGTAGTCATCGGAGTCGCGCGTATGTCAAAATTCAAGAAATAAAGAAAATGATATTGGTCCTTTGAGCCGGATCATATTTCTTCTGGATATGTTTGTTCCGGAAACGGTAGGCGGTTTGAGTCTCGCGAATTAAAAATTATGAATTCCATCCGGCAATGCTCAACAACGAACCCAAAAACTGGAAAAATTCGAAGAATCGGAAAAAAAGACTTTAAACTGAAGAATTGGAAGACTGCTAAGAATCTGAAGATAATTAATTGGAGAATGTCAATGAAGTATAATATCCAGACGGACTCGAGACGGACCAAACACGAAGAAAAATTGGGATATCTTAAAGAACTTTAACAATTTTGAATTGGAAGGAAGAAAATCTGAAGAAACCGGACAATCGTAAGAATTTGAAGAAATGGAAGAACTTGAAGAACATCTTTCAAGCCCCCAAGAAGACATAAAAGAGGATTAGATTTTTTATTGCCTTTTCTAAAGGTCAAATACGCCACCCCGTCTAGGAAGGTCCTCCAAGTCTTACGGAATGCGAAGAAATAAGTAATTTCCGCAAGTCGCCGTTACTAATTTCATGTCAATGCCGTCCAGATATTTTTCTTTAAACATTTAAAAACGTCGTGTACTTTTTACCTATCACGAAAGTAATTACTGTACACCTTTGTACCAACTTCGAGACCTCAGAAATAATTACGGTCACTCGCAATTTGATAACACGAAAAGCAGCGGCGTACGTCGCACGTTTGCAGCAAGTAAGAGATACTTTCCGTTACGGTTGCGCCAGTGGTGGACCGCCGGTCGTACGTAGAAAAAAACGAATCCTTGACTTTGTACGATCGATTGCGTTTTTGGTGATTATTACGCTCTGTCCCCAAAATCACAATTACGTAAGATAAGTTATTTATGTATAAGTGCGCGGTTCGGTACTTGTTATTGTGAGGGAGCAGCCATGGAGGTTCGCCCATTGCCGGATTACTTGCAGAAGGTGGTCGAGAATGAGCTGAACGAGGTGCCAAGCCGTGTATCGGACGATATTAGGGCGATAAAGGAATGGCTTGCGAAACAACCCCATTTAAACGCGTGCACAGGTAAGCCTTTGGAACAGTGAACGGCGTCCAATTTTGGATTGTAGACGATCAGTGGATCTTGATGTTTCTGCGAGGTTGCAAGTTCCGTCTGCAGACCGTCAAGGAGAAAATGGAAGAGTTCTACTTACTCAGGACGATCATGTCCGACTACTTCGACGATCGTGACCCACTTCTGCCCGAAATCCAGGAGTTGCTCAGTCGACAGTAAGTACCATCGGAACAACCCCAATGATCACTCACACTGTGTGATGAATTAGGATCATTCTTCCTCTGCCAGTCAACAAGAACGGTCCGCAAGTGTTCATCTTGCGCACCGATGAAGGCGACATCAACACATTGCCGCTGAAGGCGATCCTTAAGGGAGGAATAATGATGCTCGACATGGTTATGAAGGAGAACGACCACATGGTCTTGGGGCAGTACATCATCTTCGATCTGGAACAGCTGCAGTACGCCTACATAAGTCAGCTGACACCGCTAATGATAAGAATGCTCGTACGAGGCTTGCAAAACGCCTACCCGACGCGACCCAAAGGATTCTTCGTCCTCAACGCACCACCCGTTCTAAAAACGGTGTTCGACCTCACCTACCCCTTGCTCAATAAGAAAATGGCGAATAGGGTAAGTCGACAACTGCAACAAGTGTAGTACCCATACACACCCTCCTCCCTCCAGATTCACTTTTACACCAAAGACAACATGGAGGAGCTCACCAAACTGATACCCTACGAAATCCTTCCGAAGGAATACGGCGGAGGCGGCGACAGCATCGAGACGATCAGAGGTAAACGCGAGCGCCGCCGTTGAATTTTGAAAAAAAAACGATCGATTTCAGTCGAATGGAAGCAGAAAATGGAAGACTATCGGGAGTGGTTCGTGAACAGTTCCAAGTACAGGGTCGACGAAAGCAAAAAGATCAAAAATTGCCACTTGGAAAACGCGGCGGAGACGGAGGGATCGTTTAGGAAGTTAGAAATCGATTAAGCTCGCGTCCCTTCCCCGCAATTCTGCAATTTAAAATTTAACCGACGACGGGAAAGGGGTTAATTACATTGAATTTAAAAGAAGTTAATTCAAGGAGGGTTCGCTTCCTAGCTGGTTCCTTTCTCGTCTGCGAAAACAATGTTGGCACATGTATTGACGACTAATTAAAACATAATAATTGAGTGACAATTGTTTAATTACTCATTTCGTTCAGGTGGCTCATTTAAACTGCAACATGTGCTCTCCATCACGACACAAATTAAATTGGGGGAACTAATTTAAACCGCATAATTAAAGCCTTAATTATCACAAGCAAAATTAAATTGAATATGCTTTTGCATTCGTTGATTAGTTTGGTTTAAGTGTCTAATTTGAAAGGACCGTAGAATAATTAACGCCTAATTAGTGCGCAAAATTAATTTCAGCGGTTCAGGTGTCCAACTTGAACTTTATAATTCAAATCGTTTCACAATTTTTAATGTAAATTAATAGATTAGTGCAATTAGTGTCCAATTTAAAATCGGGCGGTGTAGGTGGACGGAACACCCACCCCTAGCCAGCCAAGCAATCTTCAAACCGTTGGAAATAATGCATTCTACAAGTCTAGGGGGTACGGCATACCCACCCCCAGCTAGTCAAAGCGTCCGGAGTTTTTGATACTTGTAGGGTAGGTCTATTGAGTCCTTCCTTTTCTCCCCCCAGACTCTCCGCTACTTCCCCTTTTTCCTGGGGATATGGATTCCCCGGTACGGTTACGGTATCCCAGCATACGTAACACCCTAAGAATTCCCATGATAGTTTTCTATAAAGGACCATCGATTCGTGCATTTTTGAGGGAAATTCTATGTCCCATATACTTCTGGTGTTACGTTGGGTGATCTGGAGTACCTCCCAACCAGCCAAAGGTTCGGAGTGTTTCTTGGTGGGAATTCCATACCCTCAGCCCCCCCCCCCACACCCAACCCGATTGGACCTCTGAATCAAAAGTTATGGGCAAAAAACAAATTTCGAAAAAAAATTCAAAGGGCTGTAACTTTTGAACTAGTAGCCCAATATTCAAACTGTTTGAAATTATGGATTCTACAGGCCACATTCTATAAGAAAAATTTTTTTCCGGGTCGATCTGAGACAATTTTCTTTCGGGCCTCAAAAAAAAGGCATAGTATAACCTTCCTTTTTTGCCAAAAATCGACTGCACCAAAATTTCCCGGGAAAACACTTTTTCCTATTAATTTTGGTGCGTAGAATCCAAAACAATTCGTACTTTCTCGATCAAAACAATTCGTACTTTTTCGATCAGACTTCTCAATCAAAAGTTATAGACTAGAAACCAATTTCGAAAAAAAATTCAAGGGCTGTAACTTTTGATCTAGTAGCCCAATCTTGGAACTGTTTGAAATTCTGGATTCTACAGGTCACATTCTATAAGAAATTTTTTTTTTCCGGCCGATCTGAGGCAATTTTTTTTTTCGGCCGAAAAAAAAGGCATAGTATAACCTTCCTTTTTTACCAAAAATCGACTACACCAAAATTTCTCGGGAAAACACTTTTTCTTATTAATTTTGGTGCGTAGAATCCAAAACAATTCGTACTTTTTCGATCAGACTTCTCAATCAAAAGTTATAGACTAGAAACCAATTTCGAAAAAAAATTCAAAGGGCTGTAACTTTTGAACTAGTAGCCCAATCTTGGAACTGTTTGAAATTATGGATTCTACAGGCCACATTCTATAAGAAAAATTTTTTTCCGGGTCGATCTGAGACAATTTTTTTTTCTGGCCTCAAAAAAAGGCATAGTTAAAACCTTCCTTTTTTGCCAAAAATCGACTGCACCAAAATTTCCCGGGAAAACACTTTTTCCTATTAATTTTGGTGCGTAGAATCCAAAACAATTCGTACTTTTTCGATCAGACTTCTCAATCAAAAGTTATAGACTAGAAACCAAATTCGAAAAAAAATTCAAAGGGCTGTAACTTTTGATCTAGTAGCCCAATCTTGGAACTGTTTGAAATTATGGATTCTACAGGCCACATTCTATAAGAAAATTTTTTTTCCGGGTCATTCTGAGACAATTTTTTTTTCGGGGCAAAAAAAAGGCAGTGTAAATAAAACCTTCCTTTTTTACCAAAAATCGGCTGCACCAAATTTTCTCGGGAAAACACTTTTTCTTATTAATTTGGGTGCGTAGAATCCAAATCAATTTGTACTTTTTCGATCAGACTTCTCAATCAAAAGTTATAGACTAAAACCAATTTCGAAAAAAAATTCAAAGGGCTGTAACTTTTGAACTAGTAGCCCAATCTTGGAACTGTTTCAAATTATGGATTCTACAGGCCACATTCTATAAGAAAATTTTTTTCC